AAAAAAAAAAAGTGCTTTGAAACGTTCTGTCCAAAAATATTACTTGTTAATCAGGAGGAAAAGTGTGTAGACCTGTAAAAATCCTATTTCCCAAGTTATAGGCCCCTTCCCATTGAGTGTGATTTATGTGGAAAATATGTATTTCATATATTTAAGAAACAATTATTGTCCAATTTTAGATTTTAGTATTTATTTATGGTATATTTCTCACTTAGAAAAATAAAGAAATTGCATTCAAACATGAACTCTTTGTCCAGAAGTAAATAAACACTTTGCCATATTTTTTTTGAAGTTTTTTTTTTTTTTTTTGCTATAGAGCACATGCGCTCACCAGACAGACAGAGAGAGACAGAGATATAAAGCGAGAAATCACCCCCCAGGGGGGATGGCCACACCGCAATCCCTTCTCCTCCATTCTCCTCTTGGGATTTTGGGCACGCACGCATGAACACGCGCCCGGCGTGAGTTTTAAGCCACCGGGTCCGGGACGCGAACCGTGGTTGACTACTTGGGAGTCCAGCGACACAGTCATTATGCTAACTGCTGGTTCCACCATATTTTCTTCAATCTTGATTTTTGTCTTAAAATTATATCATATATTATTGATACACCTAACTTCCCATGCTTCTTTTTTTTCTCCCAAGAATAACTTCACTCTTGAAGTTGGAAAATATTACGGCCACACAATTTTAGATTTTTACTATAAACACACTTAAAAAATATGTAATTTATTGCTTTGTATGTCAATTTCCAAAAAAGGTAAACTCTAACAAATCAACAGAAAGATGAGAAAAACCAATATAAAAATGATAAAAAATATGAAGAGTGAAAACTAGATGGGCAATATTTGAAAAAGTATTCAATCTCACTAGTAGTCAGGAAATCAAAATTAAAATAGAAAGATACTATTTCATACTCAAATAGTTGAATAAGTTTTATAACATTATTGATTGAACATTATAAAGTATATCACTGAGAAAAGAAAAAGAGTTGGGACATTCATGCCAATAATCTATTTATAAAATATAGATGACAAAGATATGTCAAGCAGTAACTAAACTCTTCATTCATATCTAGTGACATAAACACTGTATTTTTCATGTAATCTTTGATATTATTTCATAAAAACATGACAGCATTAGGTTTAATTTAGCTAGTAAATTTAAATCAATGCAAGAAATCTTGTACTACACAACTTCACATAAAAGTTTTAAAACCATTAAGAAAATACACTTATTCTTGTAATTTTTCCAAAGTAGACATTGCTAAAAACATTACTCGAGAAATGCATTTCATTAAATTTTTTCCTTCTGACATGAAAATCCTATTCAGAGCTTCGAACCCATGTGTCTATCCATCACTCTGTCTCACACACGAGATTTAAATAGTCTCTCATAGTCCGAAAGACACCAAATCAACACTAGCTAAATGAAGTTGTACTTTAATGTAATAACCAATCCATAAAAGAAATGTAATGTCTCCAATATGCTACTCCCACAGCTCCCCAAAACAATGACTTCTGGGAAATGCTATGGAAAAATTTCCCATAAATAAAATGGCACTTTCCTTGTACCTTGGGAAGAGAGGATGGAAGGGAGGGACCATAGTTCAGGCCATCACAACTAGCACTGCCATGAAGAGATAAAACAGAGGCTTGAGCAGAGTAGACACTGTCATTATCAGGAGAGTATTGAGACTCAAAAGTGGATTCATCTACTAGGTCAGCATCATTTGTGTCCACCTGGGAATGAAACAGTAACAGCCATTGGGAATTCTGTCCTATCATGTATATAACAAGCAGCCTCTACTTGAGACTAGAAGGCAGACTGATATTGTCCATCTGTTTATTCTACCCTCTATATGCCTCTCCACCCTCTTTAACCCATCAGGCAGATGAACACAGCAGAATAAGAACAAGTGGCTACCTACAACAGAGAGTCCAGCATTGAGGGAATTTTATTCCATCAATAAAAAGGCCAAAGGTAATAATCAACAACAAAGGGTCTGGATCAACTCTAATCAGTTCCATAAGTTAAGGAAAATATTTACTTAGTTCACATGTCCAATTCTTAAAAACTTATGATAAAATTGACGAGGTCATCCCTTTTTCTTATTCAACTAAAATAAAATGCTATTCAACAAGGCAGCTAGGCAATTATCTATTTCCAAACCCTACTAAAACTATTTATTTTGCTTAAATTATCTTAACTAGAGTTTAAAATCATTCAAGTTGCAGAGAGAAAAGAGAAAATCTGTGATTTCGTGCTAAAATTATACTAACAAACAAGGGCCTAATTATGATCTCGTTATGGTGAAGCTTTAAGTTATAAACTTCTGTTAGCAAACTCTTATAGAGATAGGGAATTTCACTATATATTATCTAAACATTCTGTCTTCTGTGGCAGAATGAAAAGAAAGAATTAAGTCATGATAAGCCCAAAGCACTTCTTGCAATCCACTCACAGCCATACCTCAGAACAGGCAGAAATGACATAACTGACCCTTCTCTGATATTACTAGCATTTTCTATCTTGATGATAAAATCCTGTATGATCTATTTCTTTGTAACTTCTGTTTACATGTTTATTTAGAAGAAGTTACAAGTATTATAAAATCATATCATGTCACATTCTGGAAAAAATATTAAAATTACAGGTGGGCCATTCAAAGTAAAGTAGTGACAGTCTCTCTAAATATATTTCATAAGCCTAATAGTATATTTTAAATATATATTCATATTTACTAGTAAGTTACTATATAAAGGTATGCCCTTTACAAATGTATGTTACGTACAACAATCTAGATAGCATATATTTAGCATTTGCTATGTAGATTGTGTTAACTAAGTCCTGTGGCATGGATTATAGAAGATAAATCTTTAATAACATTAAAGAACTAATACCTCAATATCATTTGTATGCCCACTGCTAATGCTTTAGAATCTTATGAGAGATACTAATAATCAATTTATTTAATTGCTGTAGAGATAAAACACTATGGACCCAGAGAAAGTTGAGTGACCAGTCCAAGAATATAGCTGATCAGGGAGAAGAATCAAGATATTAATTACCATTATAAGAGGCTAAACTTGCATAAAAACGGCACTAATTTTCTGTTTGAACGTCATTTGTTTATAAAGAGATTCAAGGAAGTCTTGTACACTCGAAATAGAACATTGTTTCTTAGGGAAAACTTTAGAGACAATGACATACTTACGTCCTGTGACATTTAAAAAAGAATTTGCTATGGCTGGGTACTATTTAACAACACAGTGCTTTTTGTAGTTCATAGCATACTAAACTGTCTAGTTTTGACATGCTAATACCATAAGACCCATGGAGAGTAGGGCCAAAAATCATTTATTATAACATACACAGAAACTTTCCACACTGCTATTTTCAAAAACTTGCAATTTAAAAATATTAACCAAAAGAAACATCACTCCCAAAACTGGATTACCAAAATGTATATAGAGTCAAATAATTCACTCTCTGGTTTAAATCAAGATGGTGTACAATCAATTTAGGAAAGTAAGTAACAGGTTTAAAATCCATCTTTCTAATCTAAAAACATTAACACATTTAAAAGGTTTAGCATAATCCTTTCCAGAGGCACTGGACAATATTTACTGACAAAAAAAGTAAACTCAAGAATCTAACTTGAATGATAGGAGTACTGTGAAAAAGATATACAATTTATTATATTTAAATTACATAAATGTTACCAGTATATTTAAATATGATATTTAGTTTTGTCTTTTAATTATTAAATAGTTTATTCCAATGAATGATTTTATAAAGGTCGAATAGAAATAAAAATTTAATTTTTTTGTCATTCAGTAATGCTTCCATATATATATTTACCAAAAAAACCCCACAAAAAATGGGTTTTGCCTTTTCTGGAAACTTCTGCACTCTTAAAAAGTGAGCCACATTATGTGATTCTCTCACTATTGCTATCTAATCAAAAAATATACCTGTCACTCCATTAGAAAGGCAGCCAAAACAACATTATGAAAACAGTTAAGGAATGCCTAGAAAATTCCAAGTATGAAATTATAGCAAACAAGCACTCCAACCACTGTAGGTATGATAAAAAGATTAATTCTTCACGGTGACACACTGCAATGCTAATTGAATTTCCTCACATTCCAAGAAATATGTTTCACATATATTATGGCTTTGCTTCCCATCTTTAACTGTGAGAATTATTTGAGTTGGCAAGAACATGTCTGGCTTTCTAAAATATAATGAACAAAGAATACAGTAAAACTTCAGAATATCTTGAAAGGCAAAATGAGATACACAAGATTTCTAAAAGCTAAAATAAGTCATGGCCACTAACCAGAGCCAAGTCAGCCCTGAAGAGGGCCTTGTCAGCCATCCCTTCCTCCTTACAGGAGTGTGGTGGGTGAAGAAAGGAATCCTCCTTAGCAGAAACATAACCTTCTTCTGGTGAAAGCTGCAGGGAGAATAGCATTGTCAGGGCCAGTCCACAGAAAAGAGAGAGGAAAGCAAAGGAAGAAAAGTGAGAAGAAAGGGTAGGGAGAGGAAAAATGTGGGGAGAAGAGAAAAAAAAAATGGGAAAGTTTTCAAATGATAACATATGACTTTATAAAGAGTAATAAATTTGAAATATGATATTCAGACTTAACATTTTTATTTGATAAGACACATTCCTTGAGAATATTTATTCTAATACAAAGATAATCTATTAGATGAAAATGCTTTTCCACTAATTTTTTATTCTTCTTATAAAAGATTATAAAAATCAACAATTTTTTTATTATAATAATCTTCTGGTCATTTTTATCTTCCAAATATTTTGGCCAAACAGTGGCTTCTTAGAATAGAAAGAAGTTAACCTTCATGTGTTAAGACAAAAAAGAAGCTGCAGAAGAACAAAATACTAAAAAAAGGATAGACTTCTCTCTGTTATCCCTTACTAGAATACTATTTTCAGAAATGTAATTTACCTGATGAGGAATATTATTGAACCCTATAGTAGTTACTTCTCGTACTTAAACCAGCTTATTAACAAAACAATAACAATAACAACAAAAAACTCTACATGTACACAGTCTGCTTAAATTGCAGACCTGAGCTATTACATTGTAACCTTTTTTTTTTTTTGAGAGTTTATTGCTATAGGGCCCATGCACTCACTGGAAAAAGAGAGACAGAAAGATAGAAAGCGAGAAATCACCCCCCAGGGGGGATGACCACGCTGCAATCCCTTCTCCCCCATTCTCTTCTTGGGATCTTGGACATGCATATATATGTGCCTGGTGTGAATTTAAGCCACCGGGACTCGAACCGCTGTCGACTACATGGGATTCCAGTGACATAGCCATTATGCCAATTGCTGGTCCCCAATATATTGTAACCTTTTAATCTCAGATAAAATCAGCTAAGATATTTATAAACTCACATTTCTTACATCAGCTTTTATCAACACTACATGCAAAAGAAGTATTACAAAATTTAAAAAAATGTTTTTCTTCTTTTCCCACACATATGAATTTAATATTTACTAAATCTCATTTTAGGTAATGGAGATAGTTATGTATTTCAATTTGTACTGCATTTGAAATAACAAATTCTCTCATAAAAGAAACTTATTTTGGAACTGGCTAAGAAAAAAATACTTCTGAATAAATGATCATTTAAAATCATATATTGACTCAGGTTTTCCATTTCTTTGTCTAACAAAAAGAGTAGAACCAAATTCATGCTCCTTTCTGAAAAAATATGTAGCATTCCATCATGAGCTATTTTTATTCTGACATTCCTCTTTTTATTAATCCTTTGTTATGAAGTCCACAATCCTGGTTTGATTTTAGGTTAAATTAACATAGTCTTCATGCTCTGCTCTTTCTTTTTTTAAAATACATTTTCATAGGTCACTAAAATATTTTGTAGAATAAAATGTAGCACATGAGTAAATTAACAGACACTTAAAATAACAAAATTTACTATTTAAATAACTTCCTTCACAAACGTCAAAAAATCCTTAATACTCTTTATTCAATTATTTGCACTTTTAAAAATAAAGGTATAGGTAGGGTTTTCAAACAGGTGATGACAAGTGCTTATTATGAACAAAACTATGCACAAACTTCACATCTATTTGGCACCAAAATAAACTCATTCTGTAATTCTATGTTTTCATGAACTTTCTAAAGTGCCTTTAAATTTCGTTCTAAACTATATTTATACTCATACAATTGGGAACATTTTAATACTTACCTAAATGTAGTGATAAGCTGCATGTTGCAATCACTACATAAAGTCATGATGTATTTTTCCTGGGTATTTCCATGCAAAAATGAATCATGGCTTTCCTGACAACCCAATAATAAAACTTACTGCTTTATGCAGCATAAATACATTAACTATTTCTAATACTGAGACAGTTAATTAATGATATAGTAGCTATTCCTTCTCAGGAGGAGAGTTCCAAACTGATGAACCCAGTTTGAAAAGTTCAGTTTCCTGCTCCGCAGTAATTAGACAAGTCTAACAGAGTTCAGGAATGTAAGCCACTCTGACAGAGAATGTACTTTATCTCACTGTGATTAACGATCCCACTGCCGACTGTAAGTGATATTACTTTTCTCTAATACCTCACTACATTGATATGAATAAGGCATATTTTATTGAAAAGATTAGATTCTATGTTCATTACAATATTATTATCAAATGTAAATGGTCAAAAGTGAAACACAAATCAGTAAGTTACAAATTTTTTCTGGATGTTCTCTTTCCTTTAATCTTTTGAAAATGTAAGTCAAAGGGTCAGTAGGTGGTATGATGGTTAAGGTTCTAGATTCCCACATGGCAGACCACAGTTTGAGTCCTGGACCCAGTGGCTTGATAAACACTGGGCACATGGGCATGTGTACCTAAGATCCTGAGAGGAGGATGGAAAAGGGACTGTGGTATGGCCATCTTATTGGGGGTGATTTCTCATTCTTCCTCTCAGTCTTTCTCTGTCCCTCTCTGTCAAGTGCACATGCCATATGGCAACAATTTAAAAAGCAAAACAAAATAAAATTATTAAAAATGACACCTTTGTACTCCTGGAGCCAATAATTATGTTGATGAAAATAATTAAAAATCATGATTGAATACTGAGAACACCTGAAGTACAAATTAAGTCTATGAGCCATTTTGTTTGCGAATTTAAAAAGAACCCAATAAAGAACCAGCAGTTAGTGTAATGGCTATGTCGCTGGACTCCCATATAGTCGACTGTGGTTCGCGCCTCAGACCTGGTGGCTTAAAACCACGCCAGTCGCGTGTGCGTGCATGCCCAAGATCCCGAGAGGAGAATAGAGGAGAAGGGATTGCGGCATGACCATTCCCCCTGGGGGGTGATTTCTCGCTTTCTGTCTCTCTGTCTCTGTCTGTCTGGCGAGCGCACGCGCCCTATAGCAAAAACCTCTCCCCCAAAAAAGAGAACCCAATAAATGCTGAATTCTTACAGGTAGGCATAAGGGCTTGGCAACACCTATTCTCACACTTCCTGATGGTGCCCCCTTCAGTGCTTCTACAGCTTCTTCAAGACTGCTGTTTTCCAAGTTCACATCATTGACAAACATGAGTCGATCTCCAGGGAGAAGTCGTCCATCTTTTTCAGCAATGCCACCAGGCACCAAAGAACGAATTACAATCACAGTGCTTGATGGATCAATTGGATCCTGACAATGAAAAAGGAAAAGAAATCAGCTCATTTTTACACTGAAAAACTCTTTCACAGGTTATCCACACTGCACTGAATGAATGGATAGATAATTGTTTCAAGTGTCTTAGAATTTTTTTTACGAAAAAAGATTCATACAAAATTTCCAATGAATTATTTGAGCTAAAGTAATCTTCATTTTAGAGAGTTTAGAAAGATCTCACCCAAACAGTAGCAACCATATTTGCTAATGTTCCTGAGTAGACCTATTAACTTGTATAGATAACTTGAAGATTATAATTTTAATTTGCAGTAAGTTGTCAAATTTTATAACCATCATTGGAGGTAAGAAGTCAGGTATAAAGAACATTTGCAAAATAGAATATTACTGTGTGCTATATCATCTCATCACCAGATGTGAATATACTGAAGGTAGGACCTGTCTTTGTAGAAATGAAGAAATACAGAAAGAGGCCATACAATATGCAGTGCTTTCAGATACACAACACACTTAACGATAGAACAAGGTTCCAGAAAAAGGCCCTGTGAACACAATGGAGTCATCTGAGCCAGCTTTCTGGTTCAGTGTTAGCAAGGAGCAATTGCTACACTCTGTCGGACAAGCCTCAGCACAGACTGTGATGCAGGTATAGATGCAAGCCACACCTGACCAACTGAAGCATTTACATGATCTTTATCAAGTGATTCTAATATTAGAATTTATAATATACCCAATTATAAATTTATCATTTACATTAGACAAATACCTAAAACATTAGGACTCACCATTAAAATAAAAGCCATCAATAAGAGCATGGAAATAAATATAATATAAATACGTTCCCCAAATGATCAAAATCCACTATAGTTGTACGACATTCCTAACATATATGCTGTGTGGTTTTCAAACTCCCAAAAGGTGAAATATAAAATAGCTCAATAAATTCAATGATAGGCCCTTTATGATAGTCAATAAATCATACACATGACTACTTTTAGAAACTGACTCAAAATGAGAAAATGTCTTTAGTAACTCTGCAATAGTATCTGCCTTTGCTCCGCTATCAACAACATACCTGTAGTAATGTATATGCCATCTTTTTCTTTTTTACAACGTTCTTAAATATAGGTTATATTTACCTGATAATCTAAAATGCTAAAACCAAGTCCTTTGCTCCCTTTCTCCAGCTCTATGTGCTGAATTCCAGCCTCCCACATGGCCAAGGGTGCTTGCACCTCCTCTGTATTCTGACCCACATCAGTCATCGCCAGCACTGGATCCTCTGTCTCCGAAGACCCGATGAACTCACCTAGATCTACGTGAGGCTGAATAACAGACCAGACAGCTTTTATTTCAAAGGGACTAGATTAGCAGATACAAGTATCAACGCTTCAAAGTAAAGGCACATTGCTAGTATGTGTCCAGAACAAAACTGTCTCAAATAAGAACAGTATTTTCAAGAGACCTTTAGGAATTTAGGCAGTAATTATTGAACCTTGTTAAAGAGGAAAAAATATAAAAGTTATTAACAGTTGTTAAAAAAATAGGGTTCAAAGATCTATGAAAATATACAATGTTAATATACAACGTTACATTTCAGCAGCATGATTGGGGTGTGATCACCTCTACTGTCTGAATCACCGCTACAGTCAGAAAAAAAATGAAAAGCGATTTGGATATTAAATAAACTAATTATTTGATAACTAAGTAACACTCAGGAGAAAGTGGATAGGTATAAAAGTTCTGTGCTCTATGCAAGCACAGGTTCTAAAATGCTGTGACTTGTGCACTCGATTCATTAATTAGTTACTATTCGGAGTGGCAAGATACATGACTTGCAATCAGATTTGCCCCAGTATGAAGTTTGTCTCTATGATTTCTTATATGGTTTTCTTGGGTAATATTCCTAACCTGGGCTTCAGCTCGCAGAAGTTTTTGAGAATCAAATGAGGTAACATTTGTAAAGCACTGAACACAGAAATAGGGAATCAAAATTCTAACTTCTTAAGTAAAGGTAACTTTTTTTTTTAAATTACCAGAGGGTGCATGTGCTCACCAAAAAGGGAGAGATGGAGAGAGAAATGGAGAGGGAGAAAGAACCCCTCAGTGGGGCATGGTCACATCATAATCCCTTCTCCTCCATTTCTCCATCCTGTCAGGTCTGTGAGCATGCATGTACATGTGCCTGGCATGTTTTCGAGTTGCTGGAACTGGGATTCCAACCACATTCAGCCATGTAGGATCCAATTCCCTTAACCACTAGGCTATGGGTTCAGCCCTAAGTGAAAATAAAATGAACGTAGGTTAATTCGAATTGGTTTATCTGTACAAACATATCAAATTTAAGAAAAATGTGCTATTTTAATTTTCTTTTAATTTGCCAGGGTGGGGAGAGGACAAGAAAGGACCGCCAAGGGGGATGGTAATATCACAATTTCTTCTCAATCTGTCCCTTCTTTCAGGATTTTGGGCATGCATGCACATGTGCCTAGTATGTTTCTGAGATACAAACCACTAATCGACCATGTAGGATTCAGCCACCTTAACCGCCACACCACTGACTGACCTGAAGGACATGCTTATGAGGGTGAAATTCTAGTTTGTGTACTCTCTTTGATTTTAATCAATTATTGCATAATCCAGGATTATGGATGAAAATATGTCCACCTACTTTATTGCAATTATCCCATGTATGCCACACAAAAATATGTAGATTATCTGATGTTAGCCTTTGAGTAGCACACAGTAGACAATTAGGTTTCTTATTCTATCCTGGTTAATTACCCATGTGAATATGCAAGGACACACTTTATTCTTTGAAGCATTCAAAACTGTCCCAATGTACTGATTCTTTCAATGGACCGTAGTTTCCCCTTATCCATGGGGCATATACTCCAAGACCCTCCACTGGATGCCTAAAACCACAGATAGAACCAAGCCTCTCTCTCACACACACACACACACATTTGCCTATCCATACACACCTATGTTAAAGTTTAACTTATAAATCAGGAACAATACAAAATGAGCAAAAACTAAAGATAACATAGAACAAGTATAATAAAATACTGTAATAAATATATGTGATAGTGGTCTCTCAATTTCTCTTTCTCTATATTTTCAGACTATCATCAACTGCAGGCAACTGAAACCATGGAAACTGAAACCATATATAAGGACGACTTCTGTGACAGAAATCAATTCCTGACATCATCTCTCATTATAAACCTCACATGAGATTTGCCTATACTACAAAACATGCGAAGTCCAAATCTTAACTTTACATATCTATTGGGTAACCTTAGAAAAGTTCATTATCTCCATTTCTTGATGTTCTGATCTGAATGAAGAATAATAAGCAAACAGGAAAATGGGAGTCTGCAGGTGTCACAGAGAATTATCTGATGTGTAGTATCATAAGCTCATATTTCTCATATTTTAAAAGTATACTGCACAAATAAGACCTACACATCTAGAAACGGTGTGTGCATCTGTATTTTAGCCATTCCCTAGGCAGCAGCTGTATGGTAGATACAGAGGTGGTTAGGTTCAGTCAAGTGCATTGAAAAATACAAACTAAATACACACGCTTAGGTACTTCAGTTTTCTCTTCTTCAAATGGGGAAAAATGAACAACTCTTTCATAAGAATAATTCAAGTAAATTATACAAGGTCATCTATAATATCCAATATTTTTGTATTACCTTATGTAACCTTCAGAGAAACTGTGTTAGGCATCATGACTTATATTTTACAAAGGAGAAAGACTGAGATGCAAAAACATGAAGGAACTGGCCCAAGGTGGCACAACTATTGATAGCTAAGTGTCTAGTCTGATTCAACTCAGGTCTGTCTGATTTCAAGGTCTATCCTGTAAACTATGGGCTATGTGACAAAATCCAATACAAAAAGAAAAAAAGTTTTAAAATGTTTTAACACCTTTTAGACTATTTGTTATATATTCAGATCAGCTTCATATCTGCAAATTTGATACCTTTTCAGTTAGCTCAATATCACATAAGTCCAGGCTATCCAGTTCTGACTGGGTGGTGGGTGGTACCGTTCGACGACAGCACACCATGGTTACCTCTATAGGCAGTTCTTTTAAAATATTCACCACATCTTGATGATTTTCTCCAAGCAACATTATGCCATTCACCTGTGAAAAAAAAGAAACATTACCCAAGAAAGAAAAACATTTCACAATATGAATAGTCTTTAGACAACAATTTTCTATTAAATAAATATGAATTTTGCAATGGGGATTACCAGAGTTATGCTGTGCACAAAACTGCAGCAAGATCTGTGGAAGCACAAACTATAGCAATTTACATGCAAGATTAGTGTTTTCTTAGACTTGGAACTTCTAAAGCACTATCAGGAAAACCATTGATTTTCATTCATTTCATTCTGTCGGTGTAGGAGTTTAGAAAAAAGGAGTTAATAAAAATATTCCCAAAAGGTGAAGTAGAAAATAAGAAAACTATTTTTTAAATTGAGATTCTATACAATTATTAAATGAATAAATAAAAATGGAAAATGATGACATCAATTGTATGCTATTAATATCATGTTTCAAGAAGTGAGGGAAAATAATATATTCAAATTTTCTTATTTATTCATTAAAATATGGCAGATTGAACAGAAGTAACTATACCAGTAATTATCTTATGACAGGTGATAAGAACTGAGTGGATGAGGACAGGAAGAAGACTTTTTTTTACAATCTTTCTTGGTATTTTCTGATTTTGAAACATGTGAATGTATTCACCTATTCTAAAAACTGGACGATTGTCTAAAATTTTCAAAGAAACTTCTTACAGTTTTCTGGACTTAACAACAAAACAAAAAGAACATGGAATTAGATATGAAGCTCAATATGTATGAAGATTTGAAATGTCTGTCTTGCTTGTATTTTTATTTGTAGATCTCTCTTAAGTACATCATAAAGGAGAAATTTAAAATAAGAACTTAATTATTTGCCACATTAAGCCTCCTGCAGCCTTTTCAAAGTCTTATTTAAGAAGAAGAAAGAATAGCATGGCTTCTTACTTCCAACAGCTCATCTCCACTGAAAAGTTTCCCACTATGTCCAACAGGACCTTCTGGTAGAACAGAGCGGATGAAATGATGTCCCACTGTTGCTTCCAGACTTATCCCCAGCCCACTGTTCTCGCTAAACTTGTTCACATGGGCCACCTGAAAGGAAAAGAATCATCGCAATTCTCATATGCTTTGTTCCTTTTTTAACCCATGCATCTGAGTTTACCCCCAAATGGCCAACTGTCTCATGAAAGCTTCAAAAACCTGACTGCAAAGCTGCAAAACTCTGGAACTTTGCCTTTGAAAGAGTAGTGATGTGTACAGTTTCATGAACCAATACAAACTAAAAGGAAGCAGCCAGCTCCACACACCCAAGACGCTTCTGAGTGCCTGCAGATGGTGACAACAGACGGAAGGTAGTCACGACTACCACGGAGCCTGAGCTCAGACAATAGTAGGGGAAAGACACACACTTAGCACTTGCTGTGTGCCAGGGACTGCACTACCCACATGAGATAGATGATCTCATTTGCTTTTCATAAATAGGCACATTTTCTCTCCTTGTTTCTCAAATTAGAAAAATGAGGTTTAGAGAAATTACTTAATCATAGTTGCACAGCTAGAAAAGGGTTTTGAACTTAAATAGTCGAAATCTAACATCACATTCCTGATGTGATGTTGTATCAATGCTCTTTAAAGGTGAATCCAGTCTTAAAACAAGAATGAACTCCCTATTTCCTACTGCAACATGACATAATGAGGAATGGTAGGAAATTACCCATTTTCACACAGAATCCAATGATGACACAGATAACATTAAAATCAGAAGGAACGCTAAAGATGATCTACATCATCTCCTTAATTTTACAGTTAAGGAGGTTGAGGGGAGAATTAGACTGAGAAAAAGAGTTTTATTAAGAAAAAATTCTTTCAGGGGCCAGCAGATGGCATAGTGGTTATGTTGCTGGACTCTCACATGGCCAAATGCAGTTCAAGTCCCAGATCCGGAGGCTTCAAACTCATGCTGGGCACATGTGTATGCATGCCCAAAATTCCAAGAGGAGACTGGAGGAGAAGGAATTGCAGTGTGGCCATCCCCACAGCGGGTGATTTCTCTATTTCTGTCTCTCTGTCTCTGTCTCTTTGGCAAGGACACAAGCCATATAGCAAAAAGCTTTCTTAAAAAATAAATTAAAAAAGAAACTCTTTCGAATCTTAGTACTAGTATATTCAAGGTCAATATCAGAAGTAATCTGAAGTCATATGAAAAAAAAAAATACACAGAGTTAACCTCTAAATGAAGGTAAATTCACGAGTGTAAAGAATGTGTGGCCAGATTCCCCAATCTGCTTACTGGAAAAACACACCAGGCACATGCATGCATGCCCAAATCCTGAGAGAAGAATAGAGAAGGGATTTCAGTGTGGATATCCCCCTCAGGGGTGATTTCTCTCTCTCTCTCTCTCTTTCTCTCTCTCTCTCTCTCTCTCTCTCTCTCTCACACACACACACACACACACACACACACAAAGGCACAGGCCCCATAACAAAAAACAAAATAAAAGTCCTGGACATTTGCTACTTCTCTGGGGACTCTTTCTGATATTATCTTTATTATTTATTATTTTTTTTTTGTGAGAGGTTTTTGCTATAGGGCGCGTGCGCTCGCCAGACAGAGAGAGAGAGACAGAGAGATAGAAAGCAGGAAATCACCCCCCAGGGGGGATGGCCACGCCGCAATCCCTTCTCCTCCATTCTCCTCTCGGGATCTTGGGCACGTACGCACACGCGCCCGGCGTGAGTTTAAGCCACCGGGTCCGGGACTCGAACCGTGGTCAACTATGTGGGAGTCCAGCGACATAGCCATTACGCTAACTGCTGGTCCCTTATCTTTATTATTTTCAGGAACTTCCTACTCAAATACAGTTACAAGTTAGGAAATTAGGAAGGTTAAGCTAACCTACCACTATTTCATAGTTAATTCCCATAATCCTTTGCCACTTTGCCAGCAGGGCAGCTTCCTGTTGCTGTACATCTTCTATTTCTTCTATCTCAGCTGACAGTAATGGATACCCTGAAATTGTTAAGGCAGTTAAGTTAGTGACAAGCTACAAAAGTCTCCCTATGCTAACAATCAGCACCAGGGACACCGTAATTAGAACTTCTCTGTTGTACCAAGTCAGACTCTTTAGCCAATACACAGGTGGCTCTTTATTCTTTATTTATTTTAATAATTTAATTTAGAACCCTACAGTTCCATATTCAACACTATTCTCTTTTAATAGATGTCATTTAAATTTTAACTCTATTTCCATTAAAATATCCTTATATTCTGCAATTTTCATATAAAAGACTGAAGAGTCTGAGCTGGACCAGGATTTGCTTAGTGGTCCTTGGATGATGCCACAGCAAAAAGCCATATCACCTTCTATATTAGTTTTTCTCTGTCATTTTCATTTACTAATTCAAGGAATAAAGGATTGTGCTATTACTTAGGAAAACAAACAAAGAGATGAGACAAATTAACAAATCATATACAAAACTCCATGCATAATAAGAAAATATAAATGAAAAACAAGAATCAATGGAAATCTGAGATTATACATCAAAGTAAAAGCCTACAATTATTATCTCACTAACAAAAATTTTACCAAGAAGAAAGAAAAATACTAACTAAATTATGTGAATATTGAGTTAAAAATGCATAGCTAAAACCAGAAACTGATTGAGAAAAAATTTAAAGTCATATGCAAAGATTTCCATATTTCATCATAGTCCTTACTTATGAAGGTTATCTGCTAAAAACATCTACCAGTCATTGTTCTCTGATTTATTTCTAAAAATCTCTTTGAGCATTAAAATTTCAAATTCAAAGATCGACTTAAAAATTCAGATTTCTCATTAGCTGCCTCCTTGTCAGTGGGAATTATGGAACTTTCACTCCAGGCATATTTTGCAGATTTAAGTTAATCAAATGATTGTTTTCTCCTTAAGAAACAGGAAATAATAATTTTTTTTTTTTAATGTGTAGGCTTGCCCTCCAAAGTAAGTGTTTTCTCTTCAAAATTAAATTTAATCCAGAAAGAGATAACTAAGTAGCCATTAACAAACATTACAAAAATCTTTGGACCTGATGCCAGGAGAGAAAGAGGAAAGTTAGTCAGATTCTTACCTCCTCCCATACTTTTATTCTCTGAGTCTGTCATATTTACACAGCTTGGCAGTGATGTAAACAGAGTGATATTATGAGTGGAGAGTCATTAAACCACTGATAAAAGTCTGAGGTTCATATTCATGCAACCAACCCGAGATCATACAACTTTCCATTTTCATTCTTTCCTAATTGTTCCCAGCCTTGATTTCAGTCATGCTTTTTAAAATCATTAAGCCCAGTCCTATTACTTTACTGAGAAGACGAATTACTTGTCCAGGCTCACACAGAGTCAAATTTTTGTGAAGGGAAAATAATATCTTCCTCTAAGGACTAGTACAAGGGCAGATTCTTTTGCATCACTTAGAAATTTTTGCTTTATTTATTTTGTCTAAAAAAATTTTTTTCTGGGACTCCTGCTTCTAAGTCTAGAGCCTCCCCCATCTATCCTCCCACACACATATGCAGCTTTCTCATTAGCTGCCTTCACCAAAGCAAAATAGATGTTTCTGAGCCTTCAAGACACCCCACACCCATTCCCACTTCTTATCTCAAGTTACGTGCTCTGAGACATTTTTATCCTTCCCATTACTCTGGATACTCACTTAAGCATAAATATTTTTTTTCACTTTATTAGTGGAAAAATGGTAGAAAGTGATTAAAATGTGTGAGCTCTACACGTTTCCCTTCTAGGATACCTCCACAAACACAAATATTCCTTTAAAATAATGAAATAAGTAAAAAATTTCAGCAGAAAATAAAACCCTTCAATTATGAAAGAGTCCATATGTTAAAGAACTAGAAAATTTCATCATTTAGTTAAAGCCATAATTTACATGAAAAGAAGGAGATCAACATTACACTTTGTTACGTGGATTTAAGTTACCAAAGTACCTGAAGAAATCTAACAGGTAAAGGAAGTATATAGCACATGGAATAAAAATAAGTCAGCAACGTTCTGGAAAAATTACAAATTACCACTGCTATAATTATTTTCAAAAACAAAACAAAACAAAACACTTGACATATCCTAGGTCTATAAGGAAAGAATTTGCAGAAAGCTTTGATAATGTCTCTGTATAAATACTTTCTACACCAGCTGCCCAATATTAAAACTTAGATCTCTTGAAAAAAAGAAGAAGAAAAGGTCTCCCAAAATTGGATAGCTTAATTCCTAAGAGTTTATACTTTAAAGAGTCTTCTGTGTTTATTTGGAAAAGTTTTATAATTGTATTATTATTTGCTCAATAAAGTCATCTGTACAAAACAAGAGATTTAATTAAAACCATGTGTACAGCCAATTGATTCCTAAATGTTTCTAGGTGGAAAAAAAACAAATATGTAGGGGCAAGCCAAGGCACAGTGTTGCTACAGTTCAACCAGCATGGGAAAGGTCTGGGGTAGACATCCCAGGACCTCTCTACACATGTTGGCCTGATATGTGTATGCCCATGATCTAGGCCAGCTAAGAGTGGTGGTGAATTGCAGAGTGGGTACTCTGTTAGGGAGTGTGCCTCTGTCTCTCTGTCTCATGGAAGAAATAAACTTTTTTAAAAATGAAAAAGAGTACACTGACTCTGGGGCCAACAGATGGCATAATGGTAATGTTGGACTCCCATGTAGCTAACTGCAGTTCAGTGCTTGGACCTGGCAGCTGAAATCTCATGCCAGGTGCATGTTTATGAGTGTCCAAGATCCCAAGAGGAGAATGGAGAAGGGATGGCGGTGTGGCCATTCCCCCGGTAGGTGATTTCTCACTCTCTGTCTCTCTGGTGAGCGCACGTGCCATATACCAAAAATCTCTCAAATAAAAAAGGGTAGACTGAGTCATCAAGAACACCAGTTACAAGTGAACTATTTAAATCTATGAGAGCAATTAATCACATATGTCAATAGAGATTATAAGCATCTCTTTAAAAATATTTAGTAGCTTATAGTATATGCAGAAGCTTCAATACATTTATTAAAATATATTTTCTTTAAAACTGAAGAATATAATGGGGCCAGCAGGTGGCATAATTGTTAAGGTACTAGATTTCCACACAGTCAACTGTAGTTCGAGTCCTAGACCCAGAGGTTTGAAAATCACTCCAAGTACATTTGTGAGTGTTACCAAAATCTTTCCTTCTTTCTGTCTTTCTCTGGTGAGTACACAGGTGCAATGGCAAAGGCCTAGAAACTAAATAATAAAATAATAATAATAATAGAATAACCACATGCTAAGTATTTACCTTCTTCTTCAATTGGTAATATACTGGTGTTTCTCCTCAAAGAATCTTCATCTTTTTCAAAATTTTCTTAAAAAAAAGAATATTTTGGTAGTGATATCTTTAACATAAACGGTACTTGATTTTTTTCTAAACCCACTATATTTATTGAACCACTAAATGAGAATCTGTGTTTTTGAGATAAAGTGCTCAACAATCATATTTACTGAAATGAAAATTAAATTTGTTAATGAACAAAGGAGGATACATATCTTCATGATTTGCCTCCCCATCTCCTATTGCAGTAAGTAGTATACTGCATAAATATCAATGGACAGGATTTGTGGAAATGAAACCACATTTTCCAGTCAATAGCAAGATTTCTAGTAAACTGTTCAGTCAGTATGTCCATAAAGATTTCATAAATTTGCAAATATTCATGTACAAGTAGCTTAAGAATGACAATTCCATGTAAAGTTAAAATCAATCATTCAAAGAAAGGTTAGACATTTAAAATTACCATGGCCCTCACATGAATAATCAGGTAGAGCAGCATCCCCCTAAAGACAGAACACTGCGATGCCATGGAGAAGTAAGGCAAGGGCAGAAAGGCATCTTTCCAGTTGAGAAATGGTGATGGAGTGAACAGGAGAGAAGAAATGCTGCTTTTTTTCAGAAGCCCATTCCATGGTATATAGACACATTGCTGGTTCCAGTTAAGACTGACTTTATTAAACTTCCTTTTTCACTTGGCTCATAATAAACAACTGAGAATAAAAGGCATTCTTCAAATAAATTATTTCAGGACCAGTTGGTGGCATGGTGATTAAGGCAGCCAGATCTCACATGGCCGAGAATATGACTCAAGTCCCAGACCCAGTGGCTTGAAAAACATGTCTGGCTTGTGTGTAAGCCTGCCCAAAACCCCAGAAGGAGAAATGGAAAAGAGACTGCAGCATGGACATCCTCCATGGGGCTGCTTTCTCACTTTCTTTCTTCTCTGTCTCTCTCTGGCAAGCGCATGCATCCTCTAGCAAATTAAAAAATGAATAAAGTAAATTATTTCGGACTTAGAAAACAAGTAAAGTATAATAAAGGTCTATCTGAAAACCAGACTGAGCGGCCATTACCTTTGCTTATGCTGGCATTAGCAGGGGACAAATCCGCATCTTTCGTGACATCCTCCCTCGATGAGAGCTCAGCTTCCTGCTTCGTCCCTCTCCTCATCAGTGTCAGGTGCACAGTCTGCCCTGTGTGCCGCAGCACCTCTACTGCTTGCTGATTGGTGAAACCCTGAAGGTTTGTGCCATCTACCTGATACAGTAAGACATGATGAAAAATAAATGGATATTTGTATTGCCAATTCACAACATGCATAGTTACTGCTTGTCGGTATGAAAAGAGGAAGTGAGTATTCCCCACATTAGGGAATGGGCAACAAACTCTAACACCTACCTGGACACTAGTATTCACTTAGATATACTAGAATAATTTGGGAAGATTTTATTTGTTTTGTTTAATGTCAAGTCTAGAGTTTCACTTTTAGAAATTGAGCAACTAGTTCTAGGGCAAGGCAGGCTTCTATGCCATTTTAAATGGTATTTTCTATTCCTTGAGTGGTCCTGATGCACAGTCAAGTTTGGAAACCAGTATACACAGCAAAGAAAAGTAGAGAATACAGTGATGAAAGTGCTCATTGAGAGTGTTGATGTATCCCGATATCATATAAATACAGCCTTCAAAAAAAAAAATGACAGCATTGTTTTTCTTCTTATTTCATAGTCTCTTAAAAAAAAAAAAAGTGACCTTCCAGTTTTCTGGTTTACAAGTGTCAAAACATTTGAAAATGACCCTGTAATCTTTCCAAAGTGCAAATATAACCTATCACCCCAACCCTGCCTCCATTGAGCATTCTCTATGACAATGCTCAAATGCTCCACATGGCTTAGAATGGCCTGGGCCAATGGGTCCCCACCTCTCATCATCACTTCGCTCACCATCACCAACCTCATCTACTATTCTCTGCCCTCCAGCCATAAGGAGCTCATTTCCATTCCTCTGACCTGCAGTCTTTCCCTCAGCCATGGGGTTTCTGCAAGTCCTGATCCCTCAGCCTGGACTCTGGACAGCTCACTCTAGCCCTTGTTCTTTCTCATCACTTCACTTAGAAATGCCAATAATAGCTCTAGATCTCAGTTCAATACTTATTTCCATAGTTAAATTATTTTAACTTCTCTGACCATGGTCAATACATCATTTTACCCATTTTTCCTTACACCATTTTCTAAATTTTAATTTTACATTGTCTGTGATTATGTGATTCATGATCGTATGCTCCAAGGACAGGTTCTGTGTCATTTTCATTCACAGCAGTGTCACTAAAATACAGTGCTGTCTGCAGAATAGATATTTACCCTAAATAAAAATATCATAGGATCATTGATTCATAAGTAAAAGATGTATTTGTAGAGCAAAATGCCTTCTTGGATAAATACAGACTATAACACCATATTTTAAGTTCATAAAATCATAGTGGAAATGGTTTGAAAAATGAAAACATGAATTTAACGTCACAATTTAGTCATTGATATTCCTTCTGAATTGCAAAATGGCTAGAAAATATCTGTGTAAGTGTCACGCTTTTCTGAGCACAGCGCCGGCCACATTAAGCATTCAAATATTTACTAAATGATTGAGAATTATAAGATTTACATCATTAGTCTCCAAGATGAAGAATCATAAGGCAGAGGTTTCTGGAAGGATGTAATGAAAGGTCTAATTAAACATCAACTAGGAATGCCCAGATCAAAAGCAGTCCCCCTCAATCTTCGTAGGTGTGAAAACAGCTTGTCTGGTCTGTAAAAAGAAACTTTAATAAAAATCAGACAGTATCCTCTTAATAAGCCAAGGTGGTCAGGCACGTGGACCCTAACAAATGCCTAAGAAATATGTATACCAAGGGCTAGTGGCTAAACTAAGCGAGAACAGGAGGCAGCACAGAATTACATATAAGCAATGAAAATGACCCTCCTACCCACATGATTCACATATGCAACTCCAACTAGTTCCTGGCTCTCGAGATAAACACAGGAAACAATTTTTTCACCACAAAGGGGAAAAGTTCTCACTGTGATGTTCCAGCTCTGATTTCCTGTCTGTTTTGTTCATTTAAAAATGAACGAAGTGAAACTACAGTAAATTTGATCTTCCCCCTTCCTTCTTCTTTTGTTGATTCCCGAATCATCTGGACAAAACCCACACGATCTCTAGAGGAACCCATCTCAACTCCAATTTGTACAAGCACACATCATTTTTGAGGATGATTGAACATCACAGGATAAGCAATAAGATACCACAGTCCAAAAGAAGATGTGTACATGAAGCAGCTGCACACATACCTTCTTAGGACATTCTTGCTGCAGTGAACAGGAAAAAAGTTATTTTCTGAAACTTCCTTTCAAAATGGTTCAGACTGCTTCATATTCACGGGAGTAGGTTACGAAGAAGAAATAAATATCCAGAAAGGAAGGAAGAAAAGAAGGAAGGAAGGAAGGAAGGAAGGGAGGAAGGAAGGGAGGAAGAAAGGGACAAACAAGGTATTACAATGAAGGCAGTCAAAGAGATTTTAAATACAGCAAAAAAGAGTCAGGAAACACAAGACAGGATCATGTAATTTTTCCATTTCTCAGAGGAAAACAATAAGATTAAAAAATAACCAGACAAATAAGATTGGAGACACTTAGGCTGATTGTAAAAATCCTATATACTTACGAAAGAGATTACAAGAAGAGAATAAATGAGGGAAAAATAAGAAATGAGTAGGGGAGAGAGAACTTTACCCAAGTCTACAAAGTAAAGAAGCACATAAAACAAACAAACAAACAAAAAACCAAACAAATGAAAATGAACAAACAACAACAAAAAAGAAACCTAACACCTGGACATATTCTGGTAAAATTCTTTTATTTCTAAGATTAAAAACAAAACAAAAACTACCAGCCTCCAAGCAGGTGAGTCAGTTATCTTATAGAACTTGTGGTAAAAAGATTTTGAAGAAGTGCTTTAGACTCAATATAAAGTACATGAAAATGTAAACTGTTGTCGAGACTCTATGATTATTGATATCCCATATCAAAGTGAATTGTGCCACCAGGCAGAAATTTAAATTCGGTAATAAAGAACAATTCACACATATCTAGAGCACAAAAGGGTTGGGTTAAACATAAAAAAATTAAGAGGAGAGTTTTGTCTTTGTTGTTGTTGCTTTTTAAACTTTTATTGTTTAATTTTATACATTTGATCACTGTAAATTAGTATAGCTTGCAAAATGAATCACCCAACATGAACACACTTTGTACCAGTTTGGTTGAAGATATCATACACATTATAATCAATTCCATTTCTGTTGCTGTTTTAACAGAAAAGAGTGTTGCAAATCCCCAACCCACTCTCAGGTATCTCTCCTGTGACCTCAAGTCAGAAGAGTCGGGTCACCGCAGCAGGGAGACAGCAGTGAGCTGTATTTAAGTACACTGGGAGGGATAAGCAAAAGGCTGTGTAGCTGTTTTCACAGTGGATCAAGACAAAATTCCTGTTATGTTGGGACGAACTGAACTTGTTGACTTTGTCTTGATAAAGACTATAAAAGACCCAAACGTGAGAAAGGAAAGCTCAAGTAATTTCGAAACCTACCCGAGTGCCCCTAGAGAAGGATGAGACCCAAAAGAGAATCTGTAGAATGCTAAGAAACCAGGGAATGAAGGGAAGAAGAGCCAATCAGATGATGACAGTCTAGAAAAATCTATCATCTGTCATTAGTGGAAAGTTAAGTCAAACATCTCTCACTGAGATCTCTAAGAACCTAAGAAGGAACCCTAAGTGACAATTTTAAACATCTGTCAGAATTATTCAGCACAGAGCCATCTTACAGCAGCACCAGCCAAAAACAAAGCCTCCCATCCTCTTTCCTTCTGCTCCTTCTCTCAACATTTTTTTTTAGTTTTCCAGAGGGCCATGTGCTCACTGGAGAAAGTGAGAGAGACAAAGAGGGAGAGAGAGAGAGAGAGAAGGGAAATGAGAAACACCCTCTAGAGGGAATGGTCAATCTCATCTCCTCTATTTCTCTATCTTTTCAAGAATTAGGGTACACACACATATGCACCCAGAATATTTTTCAAGCTACTGGGTCTAGGACTCAAATTGTGCAGGTGGCCATGTGGGATCAAGCTGCCTTAATCTGTCATGCACCAACGGGCCCCTTTCTCAACTTTTATACCTCAGAAACCATAGTAACAAGGAGAGGACATAAAAGAATAGCTAAGTAAGGAAAGACATAGTGGATGGTAGGTATAGGGAACCAGCAGTTAGTATAATGGCTATGTCGCTGGACTTCCATGTATTCGACCGCGGTTTGCATCCCAGACCCGGTGGCTTAAAATTCATGCCGGGTGCGTGTGCATGTGTGCCCAAGATCCCAAGAGGAGAATGGAGGAGAAGGGACTGTGGCGTGACCATCCCCTCTGGGGGTGATTTCTTGCTTTTTGTCTCTCTGTCTCTCTGTCTGTCTGGTGAGTGCATGCGCCCTATAGCGAAAACCTCTCAAAAAAAAAAAAAAAAAAAAAGAGTGGATGGTAGGTATACCTTCTACTTCTAAGAAAGTCATCCCCTCATCACACATTTCCGATGGGCCAGGGAATAGTTTGAAATTAGATGATCTTCTATAGAAAAATTTTAGTTACTAAATTGGGGCTGTGTTTGGTGATCTGGGCCATAGGATATTTTGTTCTCTAAGAATAATCTAAGTCACGAGACTTACTTAAAAATTCTTCCAGGAAAGCTACCAGCAGATGGTATGGTGGGTAAGGACACTCCCACGTGGCCAACCACGGTTCGAGATCCACCAGACCTGGTGGCTTGCTTTCTCACTTTCTCTCTCTCTCTCTCGTAAAATTTTTAAAAAGTGAATAAATAAATAAAATTATAATAAATAATACTTTAAAAAAATAAAATAGGGGGACCAGCAGTTAGCGTAATGGCTATGTCGCTGGACTCCCACGTAGTCAGCCGCCGTTTGAGGCCCGGATTCG